ATGGTATGAACTAGAACAGATAGACAAGTAGCAATCTAGTGAATATAGTGATCTTAGGGAAAAAATCCGTCCATGTGAACCAAAAGCAAACATAAAGGTTCTGGGTTTGAGCAATAAACTATTCCTCTTCTGAAGCTTTGAGAAATGTCACTTTGAAAAACTTTGAGTTATACAGGAATGTAAGCATAACCACTTTATTCACAGATATGTAAATTTTTATGAGTACCCAATAAAAAAATATATTAAAATAAAAAAAAAGAACATTTGCTGCATGTATACATTCCAAACACCAAACCAAACATACACTGAACGGTATTGAGAAATGAGACAATATATAAGATAATGTGAATCAACGTTATAGTGCATGTGAGCAACTTACCATGTAAAAGGGACAGAGAAGCTATTATTTCCTCATTAGTGTAGCATGCATTAAAGTATTTCTTTATTAGCCTTTTCCTGTCAATAATTCCTGTATATTGCCCATATTGTACTGGGGTATGGTCAGGCAGCATCTGCAAATGGAAAAAAAGTGCACAATAAGCATTTTGTTACCTACCAAATTATCACTATAATCACTTGTGTTTCACAGGATGTGATGCTTAGGTTTGAATGCGATATGTACTACATACAAAATTACTAGGATATAAAATTGCATTTGACCATACACTTGAAGCAAACTGTTTTCAGAATTATTGATGAAATTGTAAACACTGAAACATTTTATTGTTGCGTAGCCTTTCCCTCACAGTACATCATACATACCGTATTGTGATGAAGTCCACTCTAGGAAGATATCATTCATTATTTATTATTCATTATTCATATAAACCTTATTGAGAAAGAGAAAGTTAAAAGGTAAAGCGTAAAATATTATCATCAAATATGAGATAGGAAGGCCTGCAATGAGAAGCACGGAGTGGCAAATGTGAAGTCGGAAATTGGAAGTGAGAATTTGGAAGTGAGAAGTGAGAGTTCGGAAATTGGAAGTGGGAATTTGGAAGTGAGAAATCGGAAATTAGAAGTGAGAATTTGGATGTGAGAAGTCGGAAATTGTAAGTGAGAATTTGGAAGTCAGAAGTGAGAAGTCGGAAATTGGAAGTGAAGTGAGAAGTCGGAAATTGGAAGTCAGAAGTATAAACTTTGAAGTCGGAAATTTAAAATATGAAAATAAAGGAGATTTGATATATATAAATATATAAGTTAAAGCATAAAATCTTTTTGGGAAAACATTAAACATAACATGGTATCTGTAGAATTAAAAGTGAAAGTAAATTTCAGTCTCATTCAACCCGACTTTTGACATAATTTAATGATTATTAATATACCTATAAAACCTGAAGAAATTATATATAAGCGAAGGTCTGATTCCCATAGCTCTCAGGTCCCATTGTACCCATCATACAAACTGTGTTCATTATATTATTTTGTTTCTATGTCTTATGAGAAACAATATTTGTTTGGTGTGCTCGAACAAATCATTGCGGTCACCTTCAAGTGATGGCGTCAAATATGGTTACTGAATGGTAAATGTACACATATCTGGTTAAATACATATGCTAGAATGTTAGTTTAAATGGTTGTACGCATGTTTTATTGACTAAATAATCCACATATTTGCATTCCAAGTTGATATCAATAGTTGATAGCAATATATCCATGCTAACAAAGTCCACACTCACATTTTAGTGAATTGTTCGTTCTCGTGGACCTGGCGACTTTAGTAATTATAGTAATACCGATTAGCCATTCTTCAACAATCAGTTGTCAAGAAAAATATACTGACAAAATCGATGGAATCGAGTCATCATAAACCCCCATAATGGAGTCAGACCAGGTGCACGTGAAGGGTAAGCATCCCGTCCTGATGTTCCAGTCATGTCAGCGAAAAATGTCAAAACAAGTTTACTAGACAAACAACCACACCAAACCACGAGGACAAACAGTTGTCTTGTCTGTTTTTATGATACATGTATAATATTGCTCACTTCAAATTGACAAATATATACCAAATTGTGTACAAACAATTTACGTAATGAGTAGTTCATAACTATATGCCGGGCCATGTTTTTCATAGTTGTTTTGGACCCTATACATAGGGTATTATATACTGTATACTTATAAACTGCTAAATTTATTTGCCAGATAGAAAAAAAACAATTTGCAATTGAAAGTTTAAGTGACTTATTTTGAAATGCACAATATAAAGTATGCAATTGGCAATTAAAGCTATCATTACTGGTTACGAATATTTAGAATAGTTGTGTGTGGCACACTAACATAATATCAAAGTAACACAAACGTTTTAGTATTTCGAGCTGAACAGTAACTACTAGTATATGATAATCGGAAATCTGTAATCAGCGTACACGTACAAACTGTCGGACAAAACTTGACCTGTATATTTACCTTTCAGTAGTGTATATAAGGACATAAAACATTTGCCGAAAATAACAATATTTTATTCAATAAATCATTGGTTTCGCTAATTACAGATAATTGGAAATCTTTAAATCAGCGAAACAAAAGTTTTACATTGTGGGTTATGATGTAAACTGTTGGCTTGAGTAGTCAAGTTTGTACAACGGCATGGAACAATTGTCAAAAATAATGGTGATGACACGAAAAGGAAGGTCCGTATAGGAGGACAGCCCCATCCCTCGACCTTGGTTGAAAATGAGAGCTGGTCATACTGATCCCCTTTATTTTTTGGCAACTGTTTCATGCCGTTGTATACATTACTGAAAGGTGACTGTACTGGTCAAGTTTCGTCCAACAGTTGTAAATAATGTACGTGTAAGACCCTTGTTTCGCTGATTACATGTCTCTGATTATCCGTAATTAGCGAAATAAACTTTTACTAATTAAAGTCCCGATATTTTCGGCAAATGTTTCATCTAGTTACGACACGACTGAAAGGTGAATTTACTGGTTGAGTTTCGACCGACAGTAAAACGTGGTTAAGATAAGAAGCAATACTTTTATCGTCATGGAATGTTATTCGTGAAAATTTTCGTTCACAAAAACGTATATTTAGCCACTTTCACAAATATTCTATCGCAAATGGAACCAGCTATATTAGGTTGTACAGGCTTGGTCGCCATCTTGGACGCCATCTTGGATTTGAAGGTCACCGCAATAACTGTTTTAGAGCACACCAACAAATTATGGTATCTCATACCATAGAGGTACAAATAAACAAAGTGAACTTAGTTTGTAGGCCGGATACAAAGGGAGTGCCTATTATGTGGGATCAGATCTTCGCTTAAATATTAATGTCATACTATTAGTGGAACCAATGTTCCTAGCACTTTCTCCATACTGCATGACCGAAAATAAGTGAATGCCAGTGTCCGTCAAGTATAGGTGAGACTGATGATCAATCTGTGTGGGTAGCAGTTTTCACTTATATTTGACTCACAAGAATAAAGAAATTATCAGGGGACTTGTCGCAAACTAGAATATATTCAGGGCACACAATCAGACGACTTGTTTCCAGGTAGGTAGGGACTTGTTCAAAGGTAGAATATTACCAGGTCTCTTTTTCCAAGGGAGAATATAATCAAATGCAAAGACAATATAAATACGACAAGCTTTGTCTACCCAATGCAAAGATAATATAAAAATATAAATAATGTTGGCGCTGATCTCACCTCATAACCTCTGCAAAACAATTTGGTATAACATTCTGTGCACAAATATAGAAACTACTATGAAGTTTTATCACTACAGATGACGGTACCTTACATGTCAACATATTATTAAATAATTTATGAATAATAAACTTACCCAGCACAACTTGTCTGGCTGCTGACGGCAATGTTGTTAGCCACCCACGCACGTGCATGTGTTCCATAATGCTTTGCTCTCCATGAAAGTTTGAACTCGGAAGTTAGAAGTCGGAACTCGGAAGTTTGAAGTCGGAACTCGGAAGTTGGAACTGCGAAGTAGGAAGCAGGAAGGCCCCTCTCGGCAGAACAGAACAGAGGTGTGAATTCGACATTCAACACAA